CAGATCACATTAAATATTTATAATCCTTTCTCTCTCAAGTTCCTGAAAAGTTACAAAGACCTTTTATGACCCTTGAGATCACCTTCTGAGAATGGCCAAAACTACTGTTCTCTGTATACTTTGGCATCTTTGTGTGTTTAAAAAGTTCATCTTCCCCTTTTGCCTTTCAAAATTGCTCTCTAAAACATTCTTAGAGCACACAAAACCAACATATTCCTGTAATCACAGTTGTCCAGAGTGTTTGAGAAATATTTTTAACTCCTTTTTCAGCCTTTGCTATCTAACTGCTAAAAAAACAAGTATTCCAAATTAACAGACTGCTGTCATCTCTCCTTCCAAAGGCATTTCACTTTCAAAGAATGCTCTGATCATTAGTCAAATTGTCAAGCTGCTGGGCAGAAAGGAGGCCAAATATGACTTCAGCTTAAAAAAAAAACAAAAAAAGACAAAAGGACAAAAATGTGGTGAAGTATCTGGTGTAGGTATAGGGTTAAAACCTATTTCTTCATAAACAGGCAAATACATTAAGAGTTTTACAGGCAAATATATTACAGAGTTTCTATGTGTTTTTGTGAGATGTATTTTATATTTCTAAGTTTACTTTCTCTCAATATTTAACTAGCCTGTATAATGTGAAAGAGCATCAGTAGAGTGGAGTGAAACCACCTCATCCTCAGATTCTCCTTGATGCTGTTCTAAGGTTTCTGCCCTGAGAAATTAAAATTCATTAAGATTCATTCTGCTTCATTCCTTTGCATTCTCTTGACCAAGTCAATGGAAGGCAGGGCAGGTGATAGCACTTGTAGCTCATTCTCTTCATCTACTCCTTGAAGATCAGGACCCACTCCTTGCATTCAACTGTCTAAGTCCTGAAGGAAGTTTCAGCCCTGTGATGGCAGTACAACATGTACAATGCTTAGTCATGAATTGTCTTCTGAGAAAAAAGTTCTGAGGCCTAAAATTGAGTATTATTTTTCGGTTCTTGACAACATTTCTGTATGATTCTCTTGATGGCCTAGTTCTCACCAGATTTTATATTGAAACACATCCTTTGCACTGTTCTCCACGAAGGCCGATTTTTATAGAATCAGAGTCATAGAACGACCTTAAAGATCATCTAGTTTCAACCCCCCTGCTATGTGCAGGGTCACCAACCACCAGACCAGGCTGCCCAGAGCCACATCCAGCCCGGCCTTGAATGCCCTCAGGGATGGGGCATCCACAGCCTCCTTGGACAACCTGTTCCAGTGCGTCACCACTCTGTGTGAAAAACTTCCTCCTAATATATAACCTAAACCTCCCATTTTGTTTTTGTTACTGTATGCCAAGCAGTGCAACTTTTAATATTAGACATTATCACTGAAGCTTTTGATACTGACTTTGGTTTCTTTTCTGCTTAGAAATATTTACATTTTATGCTACTATAATAAACAAAAACTGGCATCAAAAAAATAAAGTATTTGTCCAGCAGTTAGTGTATTTACTTTACTATTGTGGTACAAGAAGATTTGACATACCAATAAATAAATCAGATTAATTTCAAAAGATGTTTAGTTAGTCACAATCTACCAAATAAGATTAGCCTAACTTGTACTAATTTTACTATATTCAGTCAGGTATTTCTCAGTTTGTGCTACACTGTACTCCACTCACAACTGTAAAAGTGAAACAGTGGCACAGCGCACATAAAAATCACAAGTGATATTCAGCTGAGTAAATGTAGAGCATTAAAATACAGACATTTACAGCTGAGCGAGACACCCGCTGGTCCTGTTACAGTCAATGGAGAGAAACAGGCATTTCTAGGATGCAACTCAGCTCATCCTAATGTAGACATCTAAAATAGGTTAGATGAATCATATGCTAGAAGTGTCTATTTCTGGTCCCTTTATGCTCAGTGGTGAGAGTGACTAGCTCAGATGCAGACGTTGACATAGTAGACGTCTAAAGTTAGGTGAGATGAACAAACGAAGATGTCTTTCTGTGTCTCTAAAAAAGTTCTGATCTAGGAACAAAATGTTAAATAATTATCTTTCAGCTACAGTGAGTCTCTTCTACTTTATCAGACTTCTGAATGTTTAGTTGGTAAATTCTTCTTGAAAACAGTATGCAAATGCCCAGATAATACTGATAACTATCACAGACAAGTTTTTGATAGCTTTTCCTGTTTCACAATACTGCAACCATGTGTATCAGTTTTGTGTATCCATTAACTGTCTGTATCATGCACCTGATCATTGTTTCCCTAAACAAAGATTACTAAATACTCAACAGATTTTTTCAAATACGGAAGTTGGTGATAGAAAAGTAAATGAATAAAGGTTGCTGTTAATGCTTCATGAATACTAAAACACTTATTCTGGAAATGCCCATTTGTGGATCTAATTGCAGCAGGCAAAGTGAGGAGAAATGCTAAAAAAAAATTATGGAATTATGATTCCAGAGATGATGCAAGGCAGAGTGAATTACTCTAAAAGGTAATAAACCTTCAGCTACACAACTTCTGCTCACATGCTTCTGCCAACAAACCCACCTATTTATTTTTGCTTGATGCCACCATCCTAACTGCCTGTGTTGATGGCACTGTTCCACAGCACTAGATACCATCACCAGCAGGTGTAGCTCCCAGCTCTGCTATCTGCTGCATAAATACTAATTTTATATGTAATATTAAATAATAATAATGATATATATATATGCCACCATTTGGAAAGTTATGCTTTATGCTGTTGAATGTATGCATTTGTTTATCTCTGTAATAATAAAAAATTGAATTTAAATTCTATGGGGTATCATGTAACCATAGCAATTGCAACATTTCAGTTTAAGCATACATCAAGGTAGAACTGTCTGTTACACCCTTCATGCAATGCTTGAAAATTCTTTATTTGGTTTCTGCAGTCTAACACAGACCAGGGGGTTTGCCATAGCCCAATTAATTTGTCTGTTACAAAATTCATTATACCATCCAAATACAAACCAGATCTCCATTTTTACACTTAAAAATAAACCAAATAAAACACTTTCAAGTCTTTCCCCTTGAAGTGTGCTAAGTTCCTGGGTCCACCTCCTGAAGCTTTGGCTCACCATGTTCTCCAGAAATTTGGCAAGGATGCAAAAAGACAGCTGAGAAATCACGCTTCTCTCAGCATTTTATGCCCACGTTTTTTTGAAGCCAGAACTGGATACATATTCTCCCTATGAAACAGCATCTTGGAAGCATAGTTAGCCAATATCCTAACATTTTAGGCTCTCTGTTTACACACTGCATGATTTCTACTTAAGCCATAGTGTTTCTGCATTAAATAAATTGGTGAAGGGAATTCTATGCTAAAAATAAATACAAACAAATGAAAATAAAGAACATACAGGGCTACAGAAAAAATTCAAGCACTTACTTCCCTCTCTTTATAAAAAGGATTTTCTTCACATCCTTCTAATCTTCTTTACTTATTCAGCTCTCAAACAATAATACTCTGGCATCAGATTGATAGGAGCCTGAATATCTCCAGTCTGAAGCAGTAGTGTCTGACTTATTATTTATCCCTTGGATATTTTTATGCATGTGCTATATCATTTATAGCATCTGTTATTCATCCGGAGTGCTGTTTTTCAGTAGGTCAGCTGTTCAGATTTAACTTGACAGAGTCATAATTGGTTCTCTGCAGAGATACAGGGTGAGAGCTTTTTGTTTACCTTAGGCATTGTGTTTTGCACTGTTAAGTAAGTTACCACCTCAGAGTTCACCTTGAGAGCTGTTTCCTGAAGCACATAATGAAGAGTTAACCACTATGAAAGTTACCACTTCGCAGACCACAAAAGGATGTTCCTAAAATGGCTGGTAGCACACTCAGCAGTGGTAGATAATCACGTTTATCATGCATTAAACACAGTCTTGGATTAATTTTGAGCCTACAGGAATCTCAAAACGATATTGTGACGCTTTCTGACCGCTATTAGCTGAGCTGCAGGATGTGAAAGGGAAATGCAGGTGTGCACTGCGAGCATGCCTTGACTGAGATGTGCCTTCAACAGAGCGGTCTATGTGAAATAGGAACCAGAACAGGCTGGAATATAGGGAACAAGCCGCAAAGGGAGGTGGTAGAATCACCATCCCCGAAAGCGTTCGCAAAACGTGGAGACACTGAGGGACAGGGTTAGTGGGCATGGTGGTGGTGGGTTGGACCAGACGGTCTTAGCGGCCTCTTCCTACGAAACGACCCTCAGCTGAGACTTTCCTCCAGCGGCTCTGACCCACAGCCGCTCCCTCAGCGCCCGGCATCCCGAACCCGCGCGGTGGGAGCTCAGCGCTGCTCGGACGCGGCCGTGCCGCGGCCCTGTCCGTGCGGCAGCCAATCCGGGCCTCCGTGCTCCCACGGCCAGCCTCGCTTACTGCACGGCTGTACCCGGGGCGGCCGGAGTTCCTGGCTGAGGTCCTGCAAACACCCGTGTTTAACTGCACGCATGGGAGCAGCGCTGCCGAGCTCAATGGGACTATTCTCGAGCGTAAAATAATACCCTTGTCTCCCGTTTGGGAACTTGCTGAGACCGTCTATTTAGAGGGGCACTGCCGGGCTAAAATAATGCCTCTATTTAAAACGACGGCATCGCCCGGGCCCTCACGGTGTGCGTGGGGGGGGAAGGCTGCCCCGCGGCGGTCCGGGTTCCCCAGCCGGACGAGGACGGGGGGACGGGCGGCGGCCGCCCGCGCAGACACCCGGGGAGACCGCGACGGTCCGCTCCGGGGATCCTCCTGATTTCCCGAAGGCCCGCAGGCAGGACGGTTTCGCGGCCCGCTCTCCCCGGTACTAACGGGAGCGGGGCGCTGCCCAAGATGGAGGCCGCCGCCCCTCCGCCTCAGGTGCGACGGACCCGCGCGGCGGCCGCAGCGCCGTCCCCGCTCCCTCCTCCGCTCGCCGCGCGCGCTAGCGCAGGCGCGCTCCTTCCCCGCCCCCCGCGGGAGCGCGCGCCCCGGTACGGCGGGGCGGGGGCGGCGGGGAGGTGATAGGCGCGGGAGCGCGCCCGCCGCCGCTCTTCTCGCCGGGCTGCCGGGCGTGCGGTAGTAGGAGGCGCGCGGCCGCGGGTCTCCATCGACCGTCTCTCTGGCAGAGGGGCCGCAGTTTCCCGTGAGTACCGGGCCGTCCACCTCACCCGGCCCCGACGGCGCGTTGCTGAGCGGGTGCTGCTCCCCGGGCCGGGCGCGGAGCGGAGCGGAGCCCGGCGGCAGGTGCCCGGCTCGAAGCACCTGGCGGGGAGGCGGCGGCAGCTCGGGCTGCAGGTGCGGGAGGCGGGCGCCGTAGGCGGCCGCTGCCGGCGAGGAGGGGCGCGGCGGGCCCGGCTGTGCGGCTGCGGAGGGGCCCGGCTCGGCTGGGCTCGGCGCGTGGCGGCGATTCCGCCCGGCGCGGCCCCCGCCCGGTGCCCGGAGGTCGCCATTTCGCGCTCGGCGGCGGCCGGGAGCTGTCTGTGCTGAAGTGCCGGCAGCGGTCGCCGCGCCGCTCCGCTGGCGGCAGCCCCAGGTGAGCCGCGATGTGCTCCCGGCCGGAACCACCCCCGCACGGCTCTCCGTGCCGCCCCCCGCTGCTGCTGGCGGGGTAAGGGATGAAGGGAGACCGAGGGGGGTCGGGACGCGCGGTGTCCTGGCGTCTGGTGGCAACCGGCATAGAAAATGGCAACGAGAGCGTGAGCAGCAACGCACCTGCTCCTCGGTTGTAAAGTCATCGTTAAGTGAGCGTTCTGCTCAACTTTCCGGCACGGTGCCGTTAGTTCTGAAGTCTGAAATGCGTTTACGTTCCGTCTCGGGAGCCGGGGTTTAGGCGCTCTCTGATTAATGAGGGCAAGCTGTTTAAATATTGAAGCTCGCGGTATTCCAGCCCGGTCAATAGGGCTGTTCCACACCAACAAATGCAGTGTGACAGCAGTGTTGTTCCATAGCTGGCTGAGTGGGGAGATAAAATGATGGAGAATGAGATGTGTTGCTCTATGGTGAGACCTGCAGACCGTGGTCTGTGGTCCTTCTGTTTGTCAATATCCTCTTCTTCATTCTTTCTTTAAGCCCCTCTTCTGCTGAGCCTATAAGCCAGCTGCCTGGCTTTCTGTTCCTGTGCTGTTGTATGCTTAGAAAAGGTGGATGAAGAAAGAAAAGAACTTCACTGAATCTAACAGGTGCAAAATATTAATTGTTTCAGCTTCTTCCATTATTTGGCAAGATCAGTGTTGTCACTTATGGGTTGTAATTGTACGGGGCTGTGCGTGCAGTAGGTCAGTGTGCAACACCAGAAGGCATCTGGGCTTCATGTTGAGTTGGAAAGTGGCATGGATGCCAAGAGATGCATCTGCAGGTGTTTTTTTGGCAAACGGTATCAGCTGTCAGAGAAACCATAGTGTGACATACTACCTCAAAGCACACACAAGTCAGGAAGCTGATATTCTGTTTTTTGCCTGATCTGATAATTTGTGCGTGCACTTCGTGCAATTTCACAGAATCATAGGGTTTGGAAAGGACCTCTGAAGAACATCTAGTTCAACCCCCTGCTAAAGCAGGTTCCCTGCAGTAGGTTATGGTAGGTTTCTTTAGTTGATGTCTGTCCTTACTTCAGAATGTGAACGGCAAAGCAAGAGATCAGAGTTGCTAAAGAACTGAAGTCTGTGGAAATTATTTATCTGAATTTAGAAACACTTTGATATTCTCTTGGGTGCTTAAAAACAGTTGTTGAACTGTATCAATATGGTTAGCAAAGCATGTTTTGAGAATACTGAATTTGAAAGCAAACCAAGCAAACCCCAACAGGAAATGGCTTAGTGGTGAGAGAACCCAGGATCTGTTGAATGAATCTGTATTCTGGATTGTGCAAAGGAGATTTAGCTGGAGGAAAGCTGTACAGCTGTGTGTCATCATCAGATGATGTGGCTGTGTGTACCAGCTGGTGCTAATGATGAAGCTAAAGCCCTCTTCATAACTCGGAGTAAAGCCACAATTAATCATCCTCACATTGGTACTTTGTTCTGTAATTAGTCTCACTGGTTACAGTAAAAATATTCAAAAGTAATCATGCTTAAGGTGAGGGAGATCACCAGAATCTGATTTTTAGTTATTGTTCCTAATCTTCTTGCAGAAAGGGTAATGTTTATCACATTCACTGCAGAGCTGGTTTGCAAAAGATGATTTTAGAGTGGAAATCCGACTTCCTAAAATGGTCTTTATTGTCAGGCATGAAATGAAATAACAGATCTAGTGGTACTTACTCATATCTCCTAATAGTGCCCTGTGCTTTGGTCTTCTCTCTGGTATTCAGAAAGGCAATGGCAGAAGCGTTAATAACCCAATTGCAGTTTCCTGGAGTTAATGAGGCATCTCTCTAACTGACAGTCTTTATTGGTTTGAGGATTTCGATTTTGAGCCAGGAAAAGGTAAAGGAAAAGGACAGGCAAGTCTCCCTGTTCTTCTTGCTGTGGTGAAGTGCATCTCCATAGTATCTGGATATAAAATGTACTGGGGATTTGTTGGTAGAGCTCAGTTTGTTGATGGCTCAGTCAGCCTGAAACCCAAATCTGCTGTTTGCAGCTGTGGAGCTGCTGTTCTTTTGCTTTATTTGGTTGTCCCACGTCACCTTGGGCTGTAATTATTTACCTTCCAATATATCTGAAGTGTGCAATAAACATAACCAGTGAAAACCAAACAGTGCAGTTTAAATTTGTCACTTTTTATGAAAAGAGTTTGTAAAATGGGAAGCTGTACAGAGACAGTACACGCCAGTAATGTAAGCCGAGGGAATAATGTAGGAGGCTGTCTGCTGGGCAATATGCAGTGAATCTGATTTTGCCTTCCTGAGTGGGCTGATAGTATTCAAAAAATTCTGTTATACTTTATCTGCAGTGATAATTTGCTGCATTTTAAATTGGTGAGTATGTTTATTGCCTATTCACTTTAGTATTAAAGGTACTGTAATTTAATGTGTTTATGAATATTGTGTTGTTTGTTTTTTTTAATACTAAAGAAATTTGGAAAGAGTTAATTGTCAATAATAAGGGTAGCATGATTTGCCTGATTTGCTTTGAGTTTTGCCCTACTGCTTGTATAGCAGAAAAATATAGTTGCAAGTTGGCTGCATTGCTTTCTTCTGAGCTACTGAGGGCTGGCTGGGCTTTCAGTTATTTACCTCCATAGAAAACTGGAAGGAAAAAAGTGAACAAAGGAGGTCTGTTTTGCCTGTCCCACTTGCTGGGCTGTTGTCTTTGCCCTTTTCAGTGAAGAAGGGGGTAGAGCTGGGTCAGAGTTGAAGAACACTGAAAAGGAATTCAAGTCTCATATTGAAATGTGAACGATAGCTTAGTTTGAGAGCCGAACGCGTTTGTTTGAGTTGGAGTTTTTCTATCTGTGGGAGCTGTAACTGACAGCTGGTGATGGACTGTCGTATTGACTGCTGCAAGGTGCAGCTTGATGTGCACTCAGGCCCTGATTAAGACGCTCAGTAAACAAGTACATATCTGATGAGACGATTAATACCGGAGATAGTGATGCTAGACAGTGTGCAACACTAGACACTTGATTGTGCGAGTTAAGGGCAAGCCCCTGCAGCTGGCACGCATTCAGGCTTGCTTGTCTAGCCTAATTGCATTGCAAATACCTCTCTGGATTGCTCTGTGGCTTCTCCCTTCTTCTAAGTGTTGAATAAGTACAGAAATGTTCATTTGGATCTTCTATTAACTGTTATAAGAGGCTTTCAGTTTTGTTTTGTTTTGCTGTATGAATCAGGATAAATGTATCTTACTATTCACTCTGTGAATGCACTGTTTTCCTACACTGTTTTGGTTTTGAAATGGCTCAATTCATAATGTGATTACAGCTTTCCCCTTGTTAACTTTTTAGTATGGAAGCATATCAGCTTGAATTATAAAATGTTTCTGTAAGAGCTCACAGTACCCCTATTCTACTTTAAGCCACCAAACTTTATAGAAAAAGCAGCATTTCATGCAGAGCATCTCAGATGCACAAAAATAGCCAAGCGAGGGAAAAAAGGCCAGTTCAATTTATAAGGACGTGATAACTTTAAAAAACAGACACATTAGAAAGGATCTAGCTGTCTAGATGGTCAATTAGAGCAGACAAAATTAGCACTGATGTGGTGTCTGTAAATCCTTGTGTAAGGATGCTGAATTTGGATGAGGTCTAGTGGGAATGCAGGTGTTCTCATACTTGGTCTGCACCATTAGGTGTACGTGACCTTTTAATTTCCTCTGGTTTGAAGCGTGTAATTCTTACTGTTTAACATCTTGTTTGAGGAAAACAGAAGTTAGCTTGCATAACCAGGAAGTTTTGAATCTGCCTTTGGCTGAATAATAGGCTCCCCTGATCAGTCATCCAGTGTTAACATACCACATCCCTTTACAGACTGTTAGTGAAGTGTTGGCCTGACAGTGCTTATACATTAATAAGGATATTTTTTCGTGTGTGTGTTTTTCTGAACTATAACTTTCACTTCCAACTTCCTTGTATCTGTGTTGCATTTGTCCAACTTGAGACTGAGAGCTTATGTGAGGGAGTTGCCTTTTCAGTGTCACAAACCTGTGGAGGTCTGTATGTGTGTACATAGGCATTGTATGTGGTCCATTAGTGCAAAAAACATCTGTTGGGTCACAGAACACTTTGCAGCTGGAGAGGAATGCCATGGATTTAACTGCATATGTATAGGTACTAGTCAGGGGAAACTTTCCAGCTGAATGTTGTGCTGCAGCATAGGCGAAGTAGTAGAAATGGACAAAACGCTAACTGAGAGGCTGAATGAGGTGATGAATTAGGAACAAAATCCACAAGGAGGACCACTGTTTGAGTAAAAGGATGAAGAACAAAATGTGTCACAGAGTTTTTCATTAGGAAAAAAAAAAAAAGTGGTAGAAATGAGGGATTTGGGAAAGAATATCACTGGAAGGCTTAGAGGAAAGGCAACAGTAGAGTAGTCAGGGAACGTACATGCAACTTATGCACTTATTAAAAGGGATTTTCAAGAGTATTTTAAAATGCCAGATGGTTCAGTTTCATTTTATCAGTAGTTTCACGCACTATATGTTACCCTTGGTGGTCGGATAGGCAATCCTCTTCCCTACTCTGAGAGATTGTGTCTAGTAGGAC